GTCATTGAGAAGTTTGATTACGTGTTTGCTGAGAATGGGACGGTACAGTACAAGCATGGCCAGCTGCTCTCCAAGCAGGTCTGTGTGCGGCTCACCCACTTCTCCACTGGGGTGGCAGGGCTGCCTCTGTCCTGTCGCACTTAGAGCCGTGTGTGTTCCTCAGACCATCCAGAATCATCTGGGGGAGGAACTGCTGCAGGACTTGATCAACTACTGCCTCAGCTACATGGCCCTGCTCAGGCTGCCCAAGAAACGGTGAGGCCTCACTTGGTCTGGGCTCCAGGACTTGTAGCCTGAGGGTGGAAAAGTATGGGTTGCTCCAATAGAACTTGAGATACTTGGGCTTCTGACTCTGTGTGTGTGTGTGTGTGTGTGTGACTGAGGAAAGAAGCCACAACCTTGCGCCTGCTAGGCACAACCCTGCACATCCCTCCCCCTGATTTACTGCTGGGTAGATTCTGGTCATGTATGAAGTCCGGGAAGGCTGTGGTGCCCTGGGGCTGGCTTGAATTCAGGACTGCTCTCTTCTCCCTGGCCCCGTCTTCTGTCACCCCTTCCCCGCCCCCCCCCCAGTGGAACCTTCATCGAGTTCCGGAATGGCATGTTGAACATCTCACCCATCGGCCGCAGCTGCACCCTGGAGGAACGGCTCGAGTTCTCCGAACTGGACAAGGTACCACCTGCCATGCCCACGGACCTGTCTATTGGCCTTTCTGAGCCTGTTTCTCATCAGTAAAATGGGTTGCAGGGAGGAGTTCCATTGAACTGATACCCTCGGGCATGGTCTGTGTGCCAGGAGTGGCGGCATGTCAGCCTCTTGCCAGTGCTGCGGGTCCCCCTTCCTCGTGCTGGCTCCAGCCTGGGCACCTTTGCACCTTCAGCTCCTATCATAGCTCCTGTTCCCTCAGCCTCTAAAGCCAGTCTTCATGCGTGCATCCGCACAGACAGGAGTCCACTGTCTCTGCCGTGTTCCTACCCTTAGAACTTCCCACAGTCGCTCCCCTTGCCTCCTCCATCCTCTTGACCCTCTGCTTTCTCCAGCACGTGTCAGAGGGCCTTTTAAGCCTGGCTCTGATTTGCCCACTGCCCTCCGGTACTTCCTGTGAGCAGGTGGGTCTGGGCTAGGAGTAGCCACAGGCACACAGACTTTTCTTGTTGGGGTTGACCATAGGTAAGCTGGAGGTGTGCAGCTTAGTGGGAGAGCACCTGCCTACACATGCAAGAGGCCCTGGGTTCAAACTCTAATACTACCAAGAACCCCTTCCCACCTACACACGTTTACAGAGGGAACTCCCCCCTTTCAGGCCATGCTGTACCCCTTGTTTACCCAGAAAGCTGGAAAGGCAGCTTTGCCGCTGTGTGCCTCTGTTCCCATCTGGAAAATGGGGCAGCAGTTACTGCCGCCTCACAAAACGGTCAGCTCTGGCCTCTGGAGCAGGTAACCAGCCCAGCATGGGGCAGGGCCCCGGAGGCTGGGCTGTGGCTGGTGCATGCTACCTTCCCTCTGCCCCCAGCTCCTCTTCCTTATCTCTTTGACTCCTGTTCACCCCCTAGAGACAGGGGAGGAATAATTTGTGTTCTCTACACAGCCTGGATCCCATATTCCAGCTTCAATTCAGATTCTGGGTCCTTCAGACTCGACAGGGATGACAAGTAGACCCCTCTTTTAGAAGAGGACACTGGGACAAAGAGGTCAAGGTCACTGGGCATCAGAGGTCATCCAATAGCCTGGTCCTCTAGTCCCTTACAAAAGGGAATTGGGACCACTCAGGCTGGGCGGAACTATTTCACCAGAGCTTTAGGCCCCAAAGAGCAGCCTGTGGTAGAGACCAGGGCCAAGGGCCCATCGACCTCCTGGGAAGGCAAAGCCAAAGCTGGGACCTCTGCTTTTCCAATGAGAAAGAAGCAGGCAGGGGTCAGCAGTTACTTCTCTGCCCTTTAGTGCAACAAATGGGCTTGGAGAGGTCACATGACCTGTCCACGGAGCAACACAGCATCCAAGCCTGGAGGCTGGGCAGCCTGTCTTTGAGTCTTAGGCTGGCTCCTTTCCAGCATGATCGCTGGCCTCCATGGACCAGCCTTCCAGGCCCTGCACTGCCTGCCTCATTCCAGTCCTGCCCAGTCTGACTTTCGGTGGTACTCATCACCATCCTGTGTCTTTAAAGGCCTTTCCGTTCCCCCCAGGATGCGTCCATCACCCTCCCCCCATTTGGTGTCTGGGCCTCTGAGTTGTATATCTGGCTGCCCTGTCCCAGCCACTTCAGCCCCATAGGGATGTTTGTCTCTGTTCACTGCTAGGATCCCCAATGTGTGTCTCTGGGCTGAGTTCTATGTGTCCTGCTGCTGTTCTCCCCAGCACAGTCCTGAGTGGATGTCCTTGTGCGTGACCTTTGTGCAAGGGACCGGGAAGGGCGTCCTGGGACCAGACCCGCTGTCCTGACATCTCTGTAAGCCCCTTATTTGTGGGGCTTCTTCTCCCAGCTCCCTCCATTTCTAGTACCTGAGCTATATTTGCCGTGTTGACTCAAACTGAGCCCCCTCGGATCCAGCGCGCAGGCTGCCGACCCTTCCCCTTCCTCCTGGGTCTCTACTGACAGACCTTCTTCCTGCCTACTTTTCTTCCTTCTTTCTTTTCTTCCTTCCTTCTTACATTTAAGTGTCAGTCCTGGGGCTTGAACTCAGGGCCTGAGCACCATCCCTGAGATTTTGCTCAAGGCTAGCACTCTTCTACTTGAGCCACAGCACCAATTTCGGCTTTTTCTGTGTATGTGGTACCAAGGAATCGAACCCAGGGCTTCATGCATGCTAGGCAAGCATTCTACCACCCACTGAGCTACCTTCCCAGCTCCTCTGGGCCTTCTTCAGAAGGTTACAGATGGTCTACATTGGGTGACCTTGAGCAGAGCATGACTCCTCTCTCAGCCTCGTTTCCTCAAGTAGAGGTTATACCTACCTGGAAAGCCAGTGAGCTCGGGTGGATGCGTGCCCAGCACCAGCCTGGCACACGGCAGGCCCTCTGGACCTCAGCCAGCACCCTTCTTTCCACAGAAGGAGAAGATCCGGGAGAAGTTCGTGGAAGCCTTAAAGACAGAGTTTGCCGGCAAGGGACTGAGGTTCTCTAGAGGTCTGTACATCCGCCTGCAGCAGGTCTGAGAAGCAAAGCACAGGAGACACGCACACACATAGGAGACAGGCACGCACGTGCGTGCACATACACACACAGACACATACACACACACACTGCATAGCAGGGGCATGGAGCCCTAAGTAGGCCAGAGCAGGGTGTTTACTGGTGCCCGGTCTTGCCTGCCTCTGTAAATGCCCTTCTGCCTCCTGGTATTGTTTCTCTGCCTCCACCTCCTGGATCTAGGGCGCTGTCCAGCTGTGTATTGCTCTCCTCTGCCACCAGGGCTGAAGCTGGCCTCATGCAGCTGATCTGGCTGCTATGTCTCCCACTCCCTGGTTGCTGGGGTCCTTTTGAGCTCTTTGAACATATCACACCTTTGTCAGAGCCCGACAGGCTGTTTCCCACACACACACACCCTCAGCCTCCTTTTGGAGCCCTGGAGGCCAGCCTCCTCCCTGCTGCCAGTGCTGCAGTTTGTCAGGTCATTCTTCATCCTGCTTTTCTGTGCGGACTGCACCCAGTTCCCCAGACATCCCCACGCCTCCCCCAGCCTTGCAGCTGGCTGAGCGCAGCCCCCCCCCTTACTCTCAGGTGGTTTTTGTCTGTTTCCTCCTGGCTCACACCATCCCTGAGATCTCCAGGCTCCTGTGCCTGGCGCTAAGCAGGCTCTGTAGTTTGAATGAACGAGTGAGCAAGGGGCCTTGCCTCAGCACACCCTGTGAACCCCCAGCCCCTGCCTCCCCTGTCGTCCCCCCCCCCCACAGGAGGCATGATCAGCTTCGACGTCTTCCCTGAGGGCTGGGACAAGCGCTACTGCCTGGACAGCCTGGACCAGGACAGCTTTGACATCATTCACTTCTTTGGGAATGAGACCAGCCCTGTGAGTACGGGGAAGCCCTCAGAACCCAGAGCACCCGAGGTCAAGGTCACAAGACACAGGCCAACAGGACGGGCTTCCTGGGGGCTCCTGGAAGACAGCCAGCTGTTCACCAGCTCCATTATACTGATTGCAAGGCTAGGGCCCAGAGAGGGTCGGCTACTTATTCTCTGTCACAAAGCAAGTGTGACAAGGGCCACGAAGGGGGGCCTTCTGACAAGACGGGGGGGGATGGGGTCCCATGTCTGGGTGGCACTGGGCACCCACCTTAGCTCCAGGCCTCCCCTAAGTGCACATTTTCCATGTGCAGGGTGGGAATGACTTTGAGATCTATGCCGACCCCCGGACTGTCGGCCACAGCGTGGTATCCCCTCAAGACACAGTTCAGCGATGCCGAGAGATCTTCTTCCCGGAGACAGCCCACGAGGCCTGACCAGGGCCCGTGCCAGAGCATCATAGCATCCAAGAGCTCTGCGCTGGCCGAAAGAAACACCCGTGGGTGCCAGCACCCCTCCTCCTCTGTGGCCCCGCGTGGCCCACTGTAAGGTCCACTCACATGGGACCAAGGTCTGTGCAGTGACCATCCTGAGACAGCTTCCTGAGTGGATTCCGCCCTCCCCCCCCACAGCCCCGCCCGGGGCATGGCTGCTGCTGGTACTTGAGCGAGCAGGGCCGCCCGTCTCCCCTGCAGGGAGGTGCCTGTGCCAGGCCCACAAGGAGCCCGCCATGCCAGGCTCCAGGAGCAGTGTGGCAAGGCAGGGGCCCATCGCCGAGGACTTTATGATATTAAAGTTCCCAGGACAAGATCAGCTGTGAGATGTGTCTGGAGAGATGGCTGCTCTGGCGCATGCTCTCAGCACCACCCAGGGACGGGGCCTTCCCAAGATCCAGCAGCCATGGGGTAGCGTGTCCCCCCTCAGCCTCTGCCCCAGCTCCCTCCCTGGGAACCTGACAGACAGCTGTGGGCCAGAATAGGTCACAGTTGAGTTTATTGCCAGTGTTAGGAAGGTCGTGGGGGGGGGGGTCCGTGGCTGGGGGCCTGGGAGGATTTCTGGGAGCAGAGGGGAGGCCTGTTACCCCCATGCCCATGCACCGCAGCTTGCCTGGTGCCTAAAGCGCCCCTGGTCCTGGGAGGGAGAACCGGGGACTCCCGCGCCCCGGGGACAGGCCTGGCTGGAGAAGCCGAGCTTACAATAGGGGCCAGGGTAAGGGGATAACCAGAGCCCAGCAGCAGCTCTGGGGTCCCAGCCTCTGTGTGGTGGACGCTGGAGCAGGATGAGCCCCAGCTGGGGGCTACTGAGGGGACCTCTAAGGCCACTGAACCCCTCAATTCTACTTACAGATGGCTCTCATGAAGCCACTGTCCTTCCTTGAGCCTTTGACCCCATTTATTCCCCCCCACACACCAGGTAATGGGCTCTTAAGAGAGTATGGGGGCCAGGGCCCCTCCTGGCCTCCCAGGCCAAGATACACACACACCACACATAGCTTGACACCAAAGGGACGCCAGGGGACAGGGACAGCCACACACTGGGAGGGACTGGGTAAGGGCTACCGTGGTGGCTGGGGTCTGGCACTGGTCTTGCAGGCTGAGGGCTGTCCGAGGGGCGCTGGGCCGGCAGGGACATGTCATCCGATGCAGCGGCCAGGCCTGGGCAGAGCGTGCGCTGGGGGTGTGGGCCGGGGTAGAGAGGAGGCTCCGTCCAAGCTGGATGTGGACGGAGCTCGGCTCCTGCAGCCCCGCGCCAGGGATTCACAGAGCCACTGCCAGCAGCTGGGGAGCCCCCACGTGCTGCCCTGGGGCCCCTCCCTCCTGCCTCACCAATGCACTGAAAGCAGCGCATCAGGGGCCATGCATCCCACGTGTTACCCTCTTTCCCCTGCCTGAGGCCAAAAGCTTCCCTAAAGCCCTCACAGGCCTGGTTTCTGGAGGAAAGGTTCCAGGCCATGGAAGAGACCCCAGCAGGAGACAGGAGCACAAAGCAGAATCTGGCGCGGGATGCGGGGAAGCATGAAGGGTGCAAGGTCATACGGAGGGGTCTCCTGGAGTCCCACACAGGCTCCCAGGGGCTCACTCAAATCACCAGACGGTGGGCAGGGCCGAAGGCGCCTGAGCGCACAGGGCAGGGCGGTGAGGGGGAGCCAGGCCGAGGCCCCGCCCATGGCCTCCTCCCACGCAGCTCCTGGCTCACTTAATCATGGGTCACGGGAGGTTGAGGCACACATTCACAGCCACGAGCACAGACAGACAGACGAGCACACTGAGGCCGCCTGGGGGAGGGAGGACTGGTCAGCAGCACGGTGGGGGTCCGCAGCCAGCTACTGCCTGCCCTTCCCGCGTGGCACCCCAAGCCTAGGAGCCCACCACCTGGCCAGACCAGGTCTCGTGCGGGGTGTGTGGAGCCAGCTGCGTGAGCACCACCTCCACCGCCTGGAACTTCTGGTTCTTGGGTGGGATGGGGCACATCTTGTAGGTCACTTCGTCACCTTCCACTGGCACGTACTCTCCCTCGATGCTGAGGGGCAGGAGAAAAGGGGGGTCAGCCTAGCAGCAGCATCCGCTGGTTGCAGGGTCGGGGTCCCCAGATCCCATGGCAGCCCAGCCAGTCTAGAGGAGTCTAGGGAGACTGATATGTGAAGGTCACAGGGCTGAGGCTGGCCTCTGAGCAGGAGGGAACAGGCCTAGCCATGCCCACCTGCTTGAAGCTGATAGGCCAGAAGCTGGAACTGGCTCCCAGGGCCCCGCCCAGGGGCCATGACAGCAGGGCCTGGACTCACTCAGACACGTGCACGAAGATGTCCTCAGACCCATTCTCGGGGGTGATGAAGCCGTGGCCTTGTGAGCGGGAGAACTGCTTACAGACGCCCTTGAACACTGGGCCGGCCGAGGCTCGGGCTGTCCTGGGGAGCAGGGTGGGGGGTCGAGCTGTGGCCTGGGGACCCCGAACCCACCCTGGACCGTCCTGTGGCGTCGCCCCCAGTCACAGATGCCACACTGAGGCCCAGAGACAAACCGGCCGCTCCAGATGCCTCCTTGCCAGAACCTTCTCTGCTGTGCACCCGCCCTTCTTCCTGAGCTTGTCTGGATTCTTCTGGTCAGGTTTTGGAGTGAAGATGTCCAGCCTAGGCTTGAAGACGGGGGCCTCACTATCTCCTGAACAGCTGTGCCTTATTCATTCCTCACCAGACACTCGGTTTTGTTTTTCCTGTCATTTCCTAAAGCATCTGCTCTGTACCTGGCCCGGGTTCACACCTGTCATCCTCAGTAGGCTGAGATCCGGAGGATCTTGTGTCTAAACCACCCCTGGCAGAAAAGTCTGGGGTACTCACGCTGAATATGTCCTGGTCCGTTTGGTGGGCAGAGGACTGGGCAGGTCCCGGGACGCGATACCACCTCTTTCCCAGACCCTGCTGCCCTCCCTGTGGAAGGGGAAGGTGGGCCAGACAGGAGACTTGGGGGAGTGGAGGGGCGGGACCACAGGGGGCGACGTGGACTCCGATGTCATGGTGGAGCCCGCAGGAGAGCCTGGTGGACCCTGGGGCTCCGCGGCCGGTGAAGGGCTTGGGTCTCCTTGCAGGCAGGGCCCGGCCTGGCCCTGCTCAGCAGCCTCGTCAGCCACAGGCTCCGTCTGCAAAGGGGAGAGAGAGACACACAGGGAAGTAGAGCCTGGGAATGGCCCAGGACACAAGTCAAGAGGCCTGCACGCCACACCAGTGTCCTGACTTCAAGCCATGGGGTCTCCCTGGCTCAGTATCCTCACCAGAAAAACAGGCAGGCTTGTGAGAGCAGATGTGGGCCTCAGTGGTAGAGCACTTGCTTAGCATGTATGAGGCCCTGGGTTCAAATCCCAACACTATAGTAAGGCAAACCAAACTGCTAAGTCCTTTCAGCCTGTAGTTAATTCCATAACTCCAAGGGGCAGAGATGGCCAGGATTTGGCCTAAGTATCCACTGTTTCAAACTCATAGTCCTGGGTTCAAAAACCAGCTTTGTCACCTTCAACATGGTGACATCAGGGAAGGTAGTTGCCGGGTTCTGGAGGGTGGCTCATGCCTGTAATCCTAACCTACTCAGAAGACTAAGATCTGCAGGATCATGGTTTAAAGCTAGTCTGCACAGAATAGTCCAAGGGACTCTGTCATCCAATAACCCAAAAAAGGCAAGACAGATGGGTGCCAGTGATTCATGCCTGAGGAGAACTGAGAATCGTGGTTCAAAGCCAGTCTAAGCAGACAAATCCTTGAGACTCTTATCTTCAAAAAACCTGAAGTAGAGGTGTGGCTCAAGTGGTAGAGCACCAACATTGAATAAAAAAGCCAAGTGAGAACATGAGGCCCTGAGTTCAAGCCCAGACTGCCCAACAGTAAAAAATGAGTAAATAAAAATGAAGGAAGGCTGTCAGCAGTGTCTCTGTGATGGGCAGGCATACAGGTTGCAGAGGGGAAGCCCGCTCCCTGCCTCCCCGCTGACAGTCCCGCCCTCTGACCCCATTTCCTGTTCTATGCTACGGACAGAGAGATGGCCCTGAGGACTGACTTGAGGACAGGAGCAGCTCACGGCGAGTTCTTGGGAATGTGGACTAGTTTTCCTTAGCCCAGTTTCTCCCTCTCCAAATGAGATTAGAGGTTTGTGGCTGGGTGGTAGAGGGGTTGCCCAGCATGCCAAAGAAACCCACAGGAAGCAAGCGCTGGTGGCTCACGCCTGTCATCCGAGCTACTCAGGAGGCTGAGATCTGAGGATCTCCGTTTAAAGCCAGCCTGAGCAGGAAAGTCCATGAGACTCTTATCTCCAATAAACCACCAGAAAACTGCTGTGGCTCAAGTGGTAGAGCGCTAAACCTTGAGCTGAAGAGCTGAGGGACAGCGCCCAGGCCCAGAGTTCAAGCCCCATGACCGACCAAAAATAATAATAAAAAAAAAAACACACACACACAAGACACTGTCTCCACCATGTTGAGGATTGAATGCTTCGTGGGGGGCAATCTCCTAGCACCCACACATACAGCACATTGTGATTACAGGATAGAAATCCTGTCTTAGAGTCGCTGAACATCAGCACAGGTTGTAGACTCGATGTGAGCATGCTTGCCAGCGTGTGTATGCTGGTACTGAGGCTTAAACAAGATCTCATATTTTTGCTTGGCTTTTTGACTCAAAGCTGGTGCTCCACCACTTGAGACCTCCACTTCCCGCTTTTGATTCATTAGAAATAAGAGTCTCATGGACTTTTCTGTCTGAGTTGGCTTCAAACCATGATCCTCAGATATCAGCCTCCTGAGTAGCTAGGTTTCTAATGATGGCCCCCAGACCCAGTGCCTAGAAACTTGAGAAAATCCATCTGGTAGAATGGTTCAAATGGTAGAGCACCTGCCTAACAAGGACAAAGCCCTGAGTTCAAACCTCAGCACTGTCAGTGAGAGAAGGCAGGGTTGGGGGGAGGTAGGAAATTCCCCAAATGCCCGCACTGGGGGAGTACTCAGCACCAGGCACAGCAGTACCTACCTGGAGCCCACCCCTCACTGGGGGAGAGAGGCAGGTGACAGGCCCAGAGCCCTACCACCTCCCTCTGGGGTGCAGGGTGGACCTGGCCTCCCGGGCCTTGTGCGGTGCCGGGCACTGACATTGAGGCTGGAAGTCCTGGGGGTGGGGCGAGCCCAAGTGGTTGCCAGGGAGACGCAGGCTCTGAGCAGCTGCCAGCTGGGGCTGGTGAGCCGATGACCTGAGCTCCTGGGGCTCATGCTAAGCATGTCACAGTGCTACCAGGGCTAGGGTTGGGGGGGAAGGGGCTCTTCTGCCTCCCCCTCCCCGTCATGGCTCTAGAAGTGGCAGGTGGAAGAAGCTACAGACGTGGCAGCCTTCACCTCCACACCAGAAGCAGCGTGTGCCAGGCCTCCCTCCAAGGCCTCCCTCTGAGAATGAAGAAGACTAGGCTTCAAGGACTCTTCTGGGCAGGGGAGCGCTGGACAGGAGGGTCTGCTTCTCCCAGACAGGGCTAGGTGCGGAGTGGTGGAGGCAGGCAGACACCCCTCCCACCCGCAGCTCTCTTTTCTCTTTTAATTCCTGCAGCAGCTCTTTGAGGCTGGTGGTATTACTACTCCCTTTTACAGACAAGGAAACTGGGGCTTAATGCGGTGAAATGGCTTGCTCGGGGCCATGTGAGCCAGGGTTCATTTCTTTCTTCCTTCTTTCCTTTATTTATTTGCCAGTCCTGGGGCTTGAATCCAGGGCCTGGGCTTCTTTTGCTCAAGGCTAGCACTCTACCACTTGAGCCACAGCACCACTTCTGGCTTTTTCTGTGTATGTGGTGCTGAGGAATCAAAGCCAGGGCTTCATGCACGCTAGACAAGCGCTCTACCACTGAGCCACATTCCCAGCCAATGAGCCAGGATTTAAACCAGGACAGGCTAGTTCTCGAGTCTTGAGTCGGAAATGTGAAATTCTGTGTCAGGCCTGCATTGCTCTTGATTTTATTTTTAACCAGTCCTGAGACTTGAACTCAACTCAAGGCCTGGGATTTGGTGCTCAGACTACACTCCACTTCCAGCTTTTTTTTGGTCGTGGGTCTTGAACTCTGGGCCTGGGCGCTATCCCTCAGCTCTTCAGTTCAAGGCGAGCGCTCTACCACTTGAGCTACAGCGCCACTTCCAGTTTTCTGGTGGTTTATTGGAGATAGGAGTCTCACCGTCTTTCCTGCCCGAGCTGACTTTGAACCTCGATCCTCAGATCTCAGCCTCCTGAGTAGCTAGGATTACAGGTGTGAGTCACCAGCACCCGGCTCTTTTTGGTGGTTAATTGGAGATAAGAGTCTCATAGACTTTCCTGCCTGGGCCTGGCTTTGAACTGCGATCCTCAGATCTCAGCCGCCCTCCCCCCCCAGTAGCTTGGATTACAGGCATGAGCTACCAGCATCCAGTTTGCTAATGGTTTTCAATGTGGCCTTGAACAGAGCCCTCTTCCTCTGGGGACCACCAGGGACCTGAACTTGGAGGAGCTGCACGAAAAGGGAAGAGGCAGGCTGAGCACCGGTGGCTCACACCTGTAATCCTAGCTACTCAGGAGGCTGAGATCTGAGGATCACAGTTCAAAGCCAGTCCCAGGCAGGAAAGTCTGTGAGACTCTTATCTCCAATAAACCACTAGAAAACCGGAAGTGGCGCTGTGCCTCAAGCAGTAGAGTGCTCGCCTTTAGCTGAAGAGCACAGGGACAATGCCCAAGCCCAGAGTTCAAGCCCCACGACCAACAAAAAAAGAAAAAAAAGGGTAGAAACTGGAACTCTGGCTCTTTTCCAGAACATTTGTAGAAACACTGAAGAGTGGAAATAAGGCTTCCATTATGTGAATGTCCTACACTACTTTTGCAAAAATCAATTTCTATCTTTAAACTTCCCATCTGCCTTACTTGGGTGGAATTATAATCATTTCCATTATACACATGGGACAGCTGAGGCTCAGAGAAGGTAAGTGATTCATTCATGTCACACAGCAGGCAAATAACCAGTGCTCTTCCATGAAAATAAAATCTGTGCCTGGTTCAGCGAAGAGGAGACTAGAGTTTTCCCAAGAACTTTCCTCTGAGAAGCCAAAGGGAAAAATAAACTCCCTCCAAAGCCAAGAGCCAGCCAGGCAGTGGCAGCTCATGTCTGTAATCAGGAAGCTTAGAAATGAAGACTGAGGTTCAAAGTCAACCTGGGCAGGCAAGTCTGTGACTCTTATCTCTAAGTAACGACAAAAAAAAAAAAAATGCCCGGCTGGGAAGGTGGCTCAGTGGTAGATTGCTTGCCTTGCATGTCTGAGGCCCTGGGTTCGATTCCTCAGCACCACATAAAGAAAAAAGCTGGAAGTGGCGCTGTGGCTCAAGTGGTAGAGCGTTGGCCTTGAGCTGAAGAGCTGAGGGACAGCGCCCAGGCCCAGAGTTCAAGCCCCATGACCGGACCCAAAAAAAAAAATGCCCGAAGTGTGCTATCTTTGAGCACAAAAACTCAGGGACAGTGCCCAGGCTCAAGCCCCAGGACAGCACAAAAAAATAAAAATAAAAATAAAGCCAAGAGCCAGCTATGTTTGGAGAACATTTGCTCCAACTTGGAGTTTCTGGCCAGCCCCGCCCTCCAGAACCAGCAATTGAGCAATTCTCCCTTTATGAGTTCCGGTCTTCTCATCTGTGAGATGGAGCCAACCACAGCCCCCGGGGCAGGCTGTGGGCGGAGCCAGGAGCTGCGTCTGTGTCCACTGTCTGTGAGCAGCCCCCTGGCCAGCTGCTTTGGCTCTGGCTCATTTCCGTGTCCCTGAATGAAGGCAAAGCTCCAACAGACATTGTGCTTCTGCGGCCCACGAGGCCAAGGAGGCCGCAGAGAACCATTGGGGCCGCTGGGAGGGAACACTGACCGAGATGCAGGTCACAGGACTGTGGCACACTGGACGGTGAGTCAGCCCTGGCACATCAAGTGACCAAAGCCCGCTGGAGCTCTGTTCCACTTCTCTCCCAACCTCTCAAAGAATGGCAGAGAAATGGCCATCCCAAATCCCTCTCAGCCCAGTCAGATTAAGGCTAGCACTCACCCACCCAATGCTGTGTGACCCGGGACCAGCAGCTGCCCTTCTCTGGGCTTCATCTTCTTCTCCAGCCACA